GACTTCTTTCTTTCTTTTATATTCAATATCTAATCTATCTAGAACCCACTGTTAGTTTGTCTTTGTCTTTAATAACAGCCTTCAAATTATTTATATATCTTCTCAATAGTAATCTTATCTAAATCATATTTCTCCAGTTTTTTGGAGGGGATTTCGGGGAGTAACGTTATGGACTGAATCAAAAGACTTAAGACTATATTGTGATCTTTTGCCTTTTGTCCCATAATGTGTTTGCTTCTATGTGGAAGAGAGAACTTAGGTTAGTTTGACAGGATTGATTTTTTTTTTCTCAAAGATATGTTGATTTTTACTCTCTTATGTCAGAATCGTAATGCTTTCAAATGAATTTTTAGATTCTCTTCCAGTACGCTTTTTCACTTGTGTCAGTTAAGATGACCATCTTGTAATTTTTATTCAATATTGTTCTTTTTCCATTAAAAAAAAAAAAAGGTCAGTGTGTTCTAAGGTATTCTAACGGACATTATTATGATGACTGATACTTTAGTCATCCTGCTTTAGTTTAATTGCCAGTAGTGGCTACATCATTACTTTTAAGCTTTGCTTTCTTAGAAAATTCAATCTGACTGATATAAGCCTCTAAATAGCTACCAGTTCCTCTTCCCCCAACTCTCACTTTCCCACATCTGATTTCTAACTGTTAGAGTAAGTACATCAAAATGCTGGCTATACGTGGCTCTCTTGCCTCAGTGCTTTTAGCCACACTTGAATGCAAAGAACGTAGACAGTCAGCAGTATAGTCGTGCTTCCTTTGGGCAACGCCTGACCCATATACATACATGGTCCCATAAGGTCATAATAAACCCAAAACCCACTGCTGAGTCAGTTCTGACTCTGTGACCCTATAGGACAGAGTGGAACTGCCCCATAGGGTTTCGAAGGCTGTGATCTTTATGGGAGTAGACTGCCACATCTTTCTCCCACGGAGCAGCTAGTGGTTCGAACCACCAACCTTTTGGTTAGCAGCCGAGTGCTTAACCACTGTGACATAATAGAGTTCAGAAATTCCGATTGGAGAACAGGATGTCATCTGATGTAATGAACGCAACAACTTCCTGCACACAACAGGTGTGTCTCATGTCTCTTGTATACAAAGCAATTGCATTGCTGGGTGTATAATGGTACCAAAACTAAACCAAACCCATTGCCATCGAGTGGATTCTGACTCATGTTGTTGTTGTTAGGTGCCCTCAAGTTGGTTCCGACTCATAGACACCCTATATACAACAGAATGAAACACTGCCCGGTCCTGCACCATCCTCACAATTGTTATGCTTGAGCCACTGTGTCAGTCCATCTCGTTGAAGGTCTTCCTCTCTTTTCACTGACCCTCTACTTTACCTACCAAAAGGTAGGCAGTTTGAATCTACCAGCTGCTCCTTGGAAACCCTATGGGGCAGTTCTACTCTGTCCTCTAGGGTCACTGTGAGTCAGAATCGACTTGATGGCAACGGGTCTACTTTACCAAGCATGATGTCCTTCTCCAAGGACTGATCCCTCCTGATAACATGTCCAAAGTATGTGAGACATAGTCTCACCGTCCTTGCTTCTAAGGAGTATGCTTCTAAGGAGTATTCTGGCTGTACTTCTTCCAAGATGAATTTGTTCGTTCTTTTGGCAGTCCATGGTATATTCAATATTCTTCACCAACACCATAATTCAGAGACGTCAGTTCTTCTTCCGTCTTCCTTATTCATTGTCCAGCTTTCTCATGATATGAGGCGATTGAAAATACCATGGCTTGGGTCAGGCACACCTTAGTCTTCAAGGTGACATCTTTGCTTTTTAACACTTTAAAGAGGTCTTTTACAGCAGATTTGGCCAATGCAGTGTGTCGTTTGATTTCTTGACTGCTGCTTCTGTGGGT